GCAATTTCCCTGTAATTGGTAAAGTAACCGTAACTGCTCTGTCATTTGTATGTGGCGACACGTAATTGCACGGTAACCTTTGCCGCTGTGCGCGAGGGAAGCGCGGTAAGCTATTAGATTGTAATTCGGAGTGTCAGCTCCCGCTCCCCATGCCACCTCCCCCACTGCTGCTCAGCAGGCCTGGAGGCCACCATGGGGCCTCTCTGCACCCAGATCCTGTTTGACCTCCTGTTTTAGGGCTCTTGTGCTGAGCTAGGCTGGCACTTCTGGGACCTTAGCAGGGGTCAGAATCACCTGGAGGGGTGTTGAGATGTATGTGCAGCAAACCCTCCTTCCAGACTGTCTGATGCTGTAGGTCCAGAATTTGCAGAATTTGCATTTCTAATAGTGACTAGTGCTCAATCTCCAGGGTCCCAGACCATTCCTCTGCTACTTTCTTTTTCTTTTTTTTTGGAGAGGTTTTTGCTATAGGGCACATGCGCTTGCCAAAAAAGACACAGAGAAACAAAAAATGAGAAGTCACCCCCATCCCCCTCCCCAGTGGGGATGGCCACGCCGCAATCCCTTCTCCACCATTCTCCTCTCAGGATGTTGGGCACGCATGCACACGCACCTGGTGTGAGTTTAAGCCACTGGGTCTGGGATTTGAACTGTGGTCAACTACATGGGAGTCCAGCGACATAGCCATTATACCAACTGCTGGTCCCCATTCCTCCACTGCTTTAGTCAGCTTTGTTGGTCCAATGACTACCTGAGTCTGGAAGATCTTTAAGAAATTCCACCTTTGCTATTTCATCTTGACAACTTTGGCTGCTTTAATCTTGAAAACTCTTCTGTAGTAGATTTCGTGGATTTTTCAAGGCTGCTGAGACTTGTCTAATAATTGGATCCAAGTCGTCTAATGATGGGATGGCACACAATAGCAAGCTAGATGTTCCCTCTTCATTACATCATTTAGTCCTCACCACGGCCCTCTGTAGTGTGGACGATTATTACAATCCCATTCTATAGGTGACAAACTAAGGCACAGAGAAATGAAATTACTTGTCCAAGGTCACTCGGGGTTAAGAGGCAGAGGTGGGATTCAAAGCCCAGGCACTTGGGCTCTGGTGTCACACTGTTGACCCCTGCGAAGCCAGACTTTGTCCAGTCCTCCATCCGATTAACAGAAACCTCTTCGCCTTCTGAGAAGCAAGCACTAAGCTGCGGGCACGAAAATGCAAGAACCGATGTCCCTGTCCTTGAGTTCACCCTAGGCCATGGTACAGGACCTGCAATGCAGTAGATCCCCCATCTTAATTTGCACCCCACAGATCCCATTGGGACAGTGAAAAGGCGATAGTGTCCTTCTGACAGGCACAGAGGAGACCCAGAGTGTGGTTCTGTCTAAGGCTATAGGTCTGTCAACAGGTTGCCTAAATGGGCCTCCTAAATGTTCCCATGCGATGGTCACTTATTTCCTTGTCCTGTAAGAACGGAGTTCTAATAAATATACATTATACAGGTGGCCTTAACACATACATGGGTATCTGTAGAGTGACAGGAGCGGGGTCAGCTCTGGGCCTGGGGGCATGGCTGGGCTCCTGATTATAAGGAAGTCTGGTTCTGGCTCCTCTGGCTGTGGCTCTAATCTTGCTGTTAATGGGGCCCAAGGGAGGGCTCAGCCAGGGCCAGAGCAGTCACTTACCCCCCCCGCCCCCCATTGCCCAGGGTGTTCAGGAATCCATACCAACCCTCACCTGTCTGAGGCTGTCACCAATTAACCTTACTTCAAGGGCTCAGGTGGGCCTGGCATCTGCTCCCTATTCCTCCACCTCACGAGTCTGCAGACCCTGGGGACCCTTCCTCCTCCTTCTCCTCCACTTCCTAGAACTGCAATTACCCATGGCTGCAGCTCAGACCAGGCTGTGTCTGCTGTCCTTGGAGTGCCATGCTCTCGGGCCTCTCTCTACAGCCATCGTACCCCTGGTCTGGGCAGGATTTCCATGGAATGACCACCATAGGACGTCATCTCACACTGGCTGGTTGCCTTACTCCTACCTCATCTAGGACTATGATGGGCCTGTCAAAGGGAGTTGAGGGTCAGAGGGCACTGGGAGTAAGTCGCACAGTTGGGGAGCCACTGAGCTGCCATTTGAGCCCAAGTCTTGTGTTTTTTCCACCACTTCAGTGTTAACTGCTCCTCCCCCTTTGAGAAAGCAGGAGTAAAGCCACCTCACCATAGGAGGGGACCTTAATAGTCATGTATACTAGGCCCTGCTTGGTCAAAGGTCTCAGTGGTACCTTTGCCACCTGGCACCCACATTCAGAGGGAGAAGCCAGGTCAAGGGGAGGCCTGGGGACAACGCCATCATTGTCCCAATTCCACTTGAAGAACCCCAGCTGCATCCTCATCTGAGCCTGATGGCTCACCCCGTGGTAGACAGTGTGGGGTGACTCTACTTGGAACAGGTGAGGAGACAGCCCCTGCCTCCTAATGGGGCTCCATAGGGAGCTGTCGTGAGCTAAAACAGGCAGAGCCCTGGGTTCAGACTGCCAGGAGGGGCTGTCCTCTTTGTTCTGATGACACCATTGGTCACCTGGGCCCCTTGCCTGTGAGGTGCCACAGGGGAAGGGACACACAGCAAGCTGCGACTTTCTGCTTCTGAGCATGCATGATTTAATGATGCACTTGTCCAAATGCAGGCTCTCTTTTTGTAAGTGGCTGTGTGTTTGCTTGTGCTTTGCCCAGCCTTGGTGAGAATTATACTTCATAACTCTGACCCTGGGAAATGAGGTTCTGGGGGGCAGAGAGAGGCCTGAAGCTTTCCCAGGTCAAGGAGCCATGTTTGTGGTGCAAGAGTGGTGGGAAAACTGTGAAACATAGACTAGCTTTCTTTGTCTCAGTTCCTCCTTGAACAATTGGATGATCATTCAGCTTTACCTAATGGACAAATACCAAGTTGCAGATGGTAGAGGTGCCTGGAACATAGTTTATATTAGAGGAAGCTAGGGCTGTGACTCCTTGTAAGTGGTAACAGGAACATTCAAAGGCCATGAGGTTGCCTAGCACCCAGACTGCCCTCAGAACACCTGCTAGGGTGCCGCAGATGCAGCCAGTGGGGAAAGGGCATCACCCTCCCTTTATCTGGACTTCTCTTTACTTCTATCCATTCCATTCATCCTCTGCTTTCTGTCTCCTTCCCCAAGTCCTCATTGTAGGGAAGGATGTAGGGAAGACTAGATCTTGAAAACTCCCTCCTAAATTGTACTCCTGTAGTTTTCTTTAGGGCAGAGGGCAGTTGTGTTTTGTGTGGGCTCTTGGACTAGACCTTGAGAGGCCGAGGCTACTGAGGCATAGTGTGGACATCTCTGCTCTGTGCATGGCCTGCCTGCACCTGCCCACAGTCTTCCCCGTCCACCCTACTGCTCCCACCATCTTGGGGATGGTGAATCAGAGAGAGGTCTTAGACATTCAGCATATTGTCCTCTCTAAGATGGATAGTGCCTGTCTACCCCCTGCCCCTTCTGGGAAAGAGCAGGGAAGTCCTAAGGCCCTGGAGAGCTCAGAGCTGGCCACTTGCAGATGGTTCTGCTAGCAAGAGCCTGCCTGCTGTTCTCCAGATGCCTTTTCCTTTGGCTGGATTGAAGCCTTTTAAAAAAGTGACACCTTGTATTTTATTTCACTCCTTTCTCTGAAAAGTCCAAAGACGTTTACAGGCATGAGCTCAATAGGCTTTATGGTAGTCCATCAAAAAGCAGGGATTGTTTCCTTCATCTTTATAGAGTGGAAAATAAAAGCACAGGAAGACGAAGTGACTTCTGAGGCCACACAGTCCTTCCAAGAAGGCACAGGGAATCCAGAGTGAGTTTTCCAAGTCTCAGGGCAGTCTGAGCCGACAGAAGCTGCCTGTGGGGAGCACCGAGCTCCTCACAGCTACTCCTCAGTCTCAGAACCCAGCTGGAGGCCCTCTGCAGCCTGGGGGACCTAGAGGCCTGGTGTAAAGGAAGAAACGATTTAACCACAAACACTGGGGGAAACTGACCCAGAGCTTTTCCTGTGAGTTCCTGACTCCTGAAATTGTATTTCCTGGAGTTGGGAGCAAGAGTTTAGTCACTGAACCACAGGAAACCTAGAGAGTATTCTCTTTAAAGAATATGAATGGGTATTTTGGTCAAAAATAGATGAATGAATAAAATGTGTAGAAAGGCTAAGGTAAGGTTAAACATTTCTTCTTAAAAAGACTTTTCAGACCTTTCATGTCACTATGAATCATTATGAATCTCCTAGATGGCATTAGAATGTCTACACTGCCCAGAAATTTACCCAAGAAGGGCTGTGATGCGGAGCATTTTGGGGGGCTTGGGTTTACAGATGACATTTTGAGGAGTGCTGATGTAGGCATAGCAAGGCCAGGGTTGCCCCTCTGCCATGCCCCAAGAGAGACAGGGAGCCTGAGGTTGACCTGATGAGGCACCATCTATGGCCTGGTGTGTCACGAACATCCCCTGCTCCCATTCTTCCTTCCCCCATGCCTCTGTTCTAATAGTAGTATCCACAGATTAATGTTTCTAGGGTGCTCTTTGCTTTCTAGTCCTTATCAATGAATCTTCTCAACAGTTAGTATGTAGAGATGGAGGCCACGACCCTCTGATGCCTGAGTAGGGCTCTCTGTAGCCTCTGCTCATTGGGTGCTGGGCCAATGCTCTTCCATGTGATGGTGGAGATGGGCCATCAAAGTGGTTGAGATGGAGCCTGGAAAGGATGAAGGAGTCACAGAGAGACCATGAAGCCTCGGGAAGAGAGACCCTAGAAATCTGCATTTTTGCCATGATCTTGCAGCTGCCTACTCAGGTGACTGCTGTAGGGCCCCTCGTTTCTCGGAAGCTGAGTTTTTCATGTAAAAAAGGAGGGAGATTTGTACTATTAGACTATCTTTAAGGATTCTTCTGGATCTATAGTTGACTGACTTAATACCTCTGCGCTGGAGCTCTCTCTAACTGTTCTCTTTTACTTGCAGCTCTTAACCATCGATGATAACTTCTGTGGCCTGGATATGAATGCCCCCCTGGGAGTGTCCGAGATGGTGCGTGGCATTCCCGTCTTCACAGAGGACAGGGACCGCATGACTTCTGTTATTGCATATGTCTACAAGAATCACTCTCTGGCTTTTGTGGGCACCAAAAATGGCAAGCTGAAAAAGGTAGGAATGCAATGCAGTCATTTTGGCTATTTTGAAGAATTTCTATCTCACTGGAATGGTATTACTTCCCCTCAGGCCCTGAGGGACTGGTGACATGTTTGAGCTAGGGTGTTGTCAAGGTCATGATGATCACCTCTGCCTTTATACTGAGGTTTTTATGGGAATGCTACTAGATGAGTGTGACATCACCTCTTCTCTGGTGCTAGTGTGCACATGACAGGTGTCAGCTTGGCCTTGCTAGGGCATTGTAGATGGTGTACTCTGTTCAACTTGGGCTGTGCCCTACGCCAGGGGCTTTTTTAGGTCCAGAAGGTAAACAAGGAGAAGGGACATATCTTCTGGCTGGTATATACATACATCTTGAATTCAGTCAGAAAATACATGAAGGAGAGGGTAGACCTGTTAGAGTTGCTGATGGGGCCAAGAACCGGATTGTGGGTCGAAGAAACCATGGATGCTATGAGAGGATGGTGGGGTGGAACTGTATGATCTGGGGTCCTGATTTTCCTCCTTGTGCTGCAGAGAGCAGCTGGTTTCTGGGTCACTGGGTAATCTTGTCTCATGTGCAGTGATGGAAGCACCCGTCCTTCCAGGAATGTTCTCTTCTTGGGATTTTCATCTTAATGAGTTGGAGTTGGCTCATAGGGGCCCTTGATTGGTTGAAAAGTCTTTCTAGGGTGGAGGCTAGATGTCCTGTTTTCTGTGGTCCATAATTGTACCTCACTCCTTTCCCAGGAAATATCGGTGTTTCTATGTGGAACTCCAGCTCGTCTTATTTAGATTATCTTATAAGCCTTGGGATACTTCCCTTGGGATTCTCTGAACATGGTGTGATTCAGATTAAGTACAGAGGCACTGCCTGATTGAGACTGAGCCTTGATCCTTTCTTTCCTCTTTGCTATATGTATTTTTGGATGTTATCTCCAGGTGGTCTTGAGGAAATGTTCTGTGTAAATCTAGATGACTGGCCTGGTATACCATCCTACTATGAAAGAGCTCAGTAGTGGCTTCTTTCTGTGAATGTACCATCTCTGTGGAACAGATGATAAATCTGGAATGTGAGTGCAGAGGATAAAGAGGGTGTGAGTAATTATGTGGGTGATAGCTGGGAAAGGAAAGAACGTGCACCAGTAGAATGCTACACCACTCTTCAAGGATGAGGCATGCCATCCATGTACACTACATCTAGTATTGCCCAGGAAGAGGTCATAGCCACCTGGTTTTAATGTAGTGCCTTCAGTGTCACAAGTAAAACATAATTTACCCCTCATCTACCCATCTTTAAGAGTTTTATTTCCTAGTTCCCTGCCTTCTGGTGAAGAATGTGGTAAACATAATTGAAACTTTATTGCTGCCTGGGCCTCTTCATGATTTTTACTCACGTGTTAAACTGAGTTTTATGAATACCTGGAGACAATGCCATGTGGTATGGGTGTGCTGTCCCCACATGGCCTTCCTTGTTTTACCTCAAGAATATATTGTCACTCATCATTGCCTGTTGCTTCCAGGAATGTTGGCCCTCCTCCCTCACTCTGGCTTCCAGCTTTAGTGGGCCAGGAAATCAGATAACCAAACTTGTTGAAAGTATGTCTGATAAGGCTTGGGATACACCCAGGAGAGATGTGAATGAGCTTTCGGGAAAGGACCTCATGGACTTTCCTATTGGTTGCTCATTCAGCTCCTTTCTTCAATGCAGAAAGCCAGCACTCAGAGACAACCTCATGGGACAGGCTGGGGGCAGAGCCTAGTAGTCGATCAGGCTGGCAGTGACAGGCCAGACCCCATCAGGAGGTATGGGGCATTACACACCACGGGCTGGCATTTTCCATCTTTTCCTCTGGTGGGCTTATAAGAGAGTGGTTTTGTTTCAGTTAATTTGCTAGAAAAGTGAATTCTGAGTACTAGAGGCATTGTTAGACACAATTCCTACAATGAAATGTTTGTTGACCAGTTTTTCCTGCTCCAGTGGGTAAATAAGCACCATTGAGAGTTAAGGAAGTGAGAAAATTTGGGGGTACCTTAAGTCTTCTCCGGTAAGCCTAAGTTTGGAGCAATGGAGAAGTAATCCCTCTATTGCCCTAAAAGATACCTGTCCACTATGTTTCCTACTGTTGCCAGGGGAGCATAACTTACTGGCAAGATGAAGTGACCTCAGATGAGGACTTCTTTTCTTTTCCTTCCTTTCTTTCTTTTTTCCTTCCTTCCTTTCTTTCTTTCTTTTTTTTTATTTTGTCATCATTTGGTTTGAATATGATATCAGTTAAATGAACATTGAGAGTTCAGTATACTTAAAAAAATGAAGAAGGGGAAAAGGAGAAGAAGACATGCTTGCTGGCCATGGCTGCACTGCAGACCTGAGGTGACCAGCTTGCAGAAATGTGTGCTCTGGTGGATGAGGCGGGTGGCAGCTGCTGGGCCCTCACCTTGGAGCCCATCCCCCAGTGGAGAGATCGTGCACAGCATGGGCAAGCCAGTACTCAGAGACAACCTCATGGGACAGGCTGAGGGCAGGTGCAGGAGTCGACCAGGCAGGCAGTGACAGGCCAGACCCCATCAGGAGGTGTGGGGCATTACACACCACGGACTGGCATTTTCCATCTTTTCCTTTGGTGGGCTTCTATGAGAATGGTTCTGTTTCAGCCACCTGGGACATTACATTTAATTTCCAGAGTAGTGGTGGGGCTGGTGAGGCATAAACATTTGAAAGGTGGGGGCAGGAGGGTCATGTGGGGGGAATGAGCCATTGGTCCTCCTGGGGAAAGCTAGGCCGTCGGGGCAGCCAAACTTTCTGCTCCACAGGCTCAGAGTGGCAGGCTTTTTAATAGTTTTGCTGGAGCCCAGCTACGGCTCCTTCAGACTCAGCAGAGCTGGCCCAGGGGACTGTCTGAGTTGGGAAAGGAAGGCTGGGCTGCCGAGTCTGTTGTTTGAAATAATAAAAAGCAAAAGTGGCCATTTATTTACTTTTTCTACACAATAGAATTTCCCACCACCCTGTGCTCACTGAGCACACTCCCCTTTCCTTGCAATAACCCCGACTTGCTTTTCCCAGGGGTTATCAGGACCATAGTCACCTTTTGGGCAGATGCCCAGCCATGACAAGCTCTGGACTATAGGAGGATTTTGCAGGAAGTTTTGTGAACCACCAAAACCAGGGAGTGAGAATAATGGAGCTCACACTGTAGCCGTAATTACAGAGCGGGCTTTTCTGAGCCCTGTAATAATCTCCTGTGTGTACAGAGGGCCTCTCAGAGTTCTTTGCAGTATGACAAGGAACCTGAAGTAGGAAGGTGGGTGGTAGCGGGGTTGAGGATTTGTCAGGGGGAAGGAGTTTGCTGTGGCTTTCAGGGGCCCAGGAGCTAGACTATAGCTATCCGTAGCCTGCCCTCAAAATTATTGGCTTTTCATTTTGTTTGAAAGGTCTGGGTCCCAATCATTTGCAACCTTACCTTTGATGACCATAATTTTAGTCCTTCAGTGCACACATCACATGAGGCAGGGGGAAAGGAGGTGAAGAAAGTACCAATTTGGATGTCTATTATGTTTTCTGATGCATGTGTGTTATGGGCGGTATTGGCAGCCTTTTCCTATGGCGAGTGTTAAAAGCACGTGCTGTTAAGAAATGTGGTGTATGAATGCTGTGGCCATCAGGAGGTGTCTAGGGACTTAGAAATAACCCATAGTTAAAAATTCAGCTACAAGGGGGCCAGGAGATAGTGTGGTGGTTAAGGCAGCTGGATTCCCACTTGACCCACTGTGGGTCGAGTCCGGCACCCAGTAGCTTGAAAATCATGCTGTGTGTGTGCGTGCTTGCAGGGTCGAAATCCTGAGAGGAGAATGGAGGGGAAGGGATTACAGCACGGCCATCTCCTGGGAGGCGATTTCTCACTTTCCTTTTGTCTGTCTCTCTCCTCTGGTGACGCATGTACCCTATGACAAAAACCTAAAAATAAATAAATAATAAACTACTATTAAAAATCTTTCCTAAATCATTCATTCATTCATTCGTTCAATGAATGAGACATAGAGAGAAAGCACTCCTAACAGGTTCTTTTTCTTTCTTTCTTTCTTTTTTTTTTTTTTGGTAGAGGTTTTTGCTATAGGGTGCATGTGCTCACCAGAAAGATGGAGAGAGACAGAGAGACAGAAAGTGAGAAATCACCCCCTAGGGGGAGTGGCCATGTTGCAATCCCCTCTCTCCACTCTTCTCTTGGGATCCCGGGCATGCATGCACATAATGCCTGACGTGAGTCCAAGCCACCGGGTCTGGGACTTGAACCACGGTCGACTACATGGGAGTTCAGCGACATAGCCGTTACACTAACTGCTGGTCCCCTAACAGGTTCTTGATGCCACAATCTACTCTCAGCCTCAGCCAGCCCTCGATCATGGGCACACACGTGCCTGGCATACTCAGGGAGGTCTCTAGACGTGAACCAACCATCTTTCCATGGAGGTCTTCCTCACAGTGTCACATTTGACTAATGTACCACCATCCAGACCCTATAAATCTGAAAACCTTTGCCCCAATGTGGGGTAACCTGCTCAGTGTTGTCACAGAGGGCAAGATTTCTTTGCATTGCCTAAAGATTTCTGCCAGAATCCTCTCTTTCTCTGCCTCTTCCTTTCCTTTCACTAAGTGATCATATTTTATGACTGCTATTCAGCAATGAATTACTGCCTGGCATTAGTGGGAGAGATTAATGTTCATTGTGAACCAAAACATCATAAACTTTCGCTTGAGGTACGATTGCTCCTTTCTTTTTGTGCTTGCCTCTTTCCTGAGTATTTTTAGGAGGTTAAGCTGTGCATACCTAGGGGGCGGGATACTTTGGGGATGCTGGCTAGGCAGAACTTGGGCTGGCCCTGCTGTGAGCCAGGAGCAGGATGCATCCCCACGTGTGTGCATATACCATGACAGACCGGCCTCGCTAGACTAGAACTGGGTGTGTATCCACAGGCAGAGTCAGTGCAGGAATAAAACACAAAACTCATTCTACTGG